TTTTATAAAAAAAAAAAAAAAAAAAAAAAATTATTCTCCTTCAAAGAATCCTTAATCCATTTGCATCAGAAGCGGATATACAGAGTGTTCGGTAACTCATAGAGGAGCCGCGATGTACAGGTAGATTAGGTCAAACGGAACAAAAAATCTCTACTATTTTGCGAACATAAAATAATCTATATAAAATTATATAAAATTATATAAAATCTATATAAAATTATATAAAATTATATAAAATCTATATAAAATTATATGAAATTATAGTATTCTACATAAAATAATCTATATAAAATTCTAAGTTATTAATCAAAGATTCGTGAATGATTACGCGCCATACAGCAAATAAACTGTGATGACGGCTGTCGCTGTATATTAAGTCAAACCGAACAAAAAATGTCTTCTATTATTTTTCAAATGACAACGTAGATATTTAGTTATTATTTAAAAAAAATTGGTAAATTAACACGCACAATTGCACCAAACTTCTGGTGTACCGTTCATCTTCATCGAGACGTCGTCGCGTTCGCATTATGTAAACGACGTTAATTCCATTTACGTCGTCAGCCGAATACCCACAATGCCGGAAAACACGAGTGTGTCTTGTGTAAATGAAACCTCACGCGATGGAGACTTAATCCTCAAACGCGTTCCTCCTCGACCGGTTTCTTCGTTGACGAAGAGATGAATGCTCACCTCTCGCTACCGACGAGATATCCGAGTCTAATTGACGGGAGATTGTCCGCGAAATTTCCTTTCGCGACGATAGCTCTTAAGCTCAACTCGTCAAGGAGATTGATTCAAAGCTCGTGCGATCGACTTCATGCCGCGACAATAGTTCTTATGAATAAAAGATCGAATTGCTCGACAACCGCGAGCTCTGTCCATCAGCCCGCGACTACATTTTAGTTTTCATTTATTAATTCACTCGTTCCCGGTCGATATTTCGCGCTTATTCAGTTGCGCCATCATTCATTCATCCATCTGTTTCTTCATACCTCAAGTTTACATTTGTATGTGCACGCGTATACACTCTTCGCTCATACAGCGTATGCACGTAATCGTCATATTAATCCGCCCGGGCGCGTTGTAATGGAGCGCATATAATTACAGATAAATAGCCGTGTGTGCCTGGCGTGACATTCTCGGCTACGCGGCTGGCAAGAGTTTCTCGGCTGAAAGCTGAGAATAGGACGGACGAAAGCGGGATAAATGCGAGCGCCCGAGATGAAAACAATGTACGGAAGCATCGGCCCCGTGTACGGGGCGATCTAAAAAAAGAGTGGAAGAATTTTGGAGGGATATAGTACTGTGGCGCGGGAATAGGCAAGGTATTTAATTGTCGCACCGAGAGTCGAAGGACCGACTTGGATTTGGAAGCAAGAGCGACTTCCGATCATAATAGTACGGGTGACTTGTGTTTTTGCGCGACAAATCATTGAATAAAGAATGTCAGGAAGCAATATGTTGCGACATATCGTGGGTAATCGATTGTGTTGCATTGGTTCAGTTTGATGACGTAAATTACGTCATAAGTGACGTTACCGGAAACACAGTCTGGCGGTATACTTTAAACATCTTGGAAGTATATAGCAAAGGAATATTAATTTTAAAAGAATAATAGAAAAATTGTATTTATATTTTGCTCATATTGGTGAGAAAAATAAAATTAGTCACTTGTAATAATTTTCTCTTCAATACGTTTACGCACTTTTGTCTATTCAATTAATTGACAATATTACGTCATAACATTTACTTCGATTCCATAGTATCGATAATCGCATTCGGTTCACTTTCATCATATCCTTTGTACTTCTAACAAAGGATTTTCTCTTTATGCTCTTTCCTGATATTCTTTATTCAATGCGACAAACTGTGCGATTTCGTTTTGCGTAAATCAATTCTCCTATATCGCGTTGCACAAAAATATCAAAAAATAAGATGATCAAAGAGCGGACATATCGGAGTAAAACGTGCGAAAATTCATGAAAAATATTTTCTTCTCGATCATATTGTGTTTTAAGGATTCTGAGGGCCGGTTTTTCAATGATAGTTTAAACTTAGATTTCAACTTAAACTTAAACAAAACAAACGCATTGTTAGAATAGAGTTTAAACTCGAGTCCAAGTTTAAACTGCTATTGAAAAACCGGCCCTTATGTCCATTTCTGTCAACTTTGGTTAATTTAACCGGTTGGTTATTCCAACAGAATTGACCAATTACATTTCTCATTAGTCAGAATTGGCAAGTGCGATTGATCAATTCTGTTGGAATAACCAGTTATGTTAACCAAAGTTAGTAGAAATGGGCATAAGAGGAATTTTTTACAAAGAAGACACATTCTTCAACTTTTCGGTAGTTTTGAGGACGTTACATGATTTTTTCTCAATTGAAACTGGCACATTAGTCAAGTTATAACGAGACTCTTATTTTATACAAATGTAACAAAAATATACTGAAAAGTTAAAAAATGTGTATCACAATTCCTTTGTAAAAAAAATGCTAAATTCCTTTAATTTACGTCTATAGGCTACACAGAATCCTCAAAAGTGACTTATGTAGCTTGACTGAGATGAAATGAAGTATCGAAGAAACAAAAAATATGCGGACTGTAAATGCGCGATACTTCTTTCAGTTATCTTCTAGAGAAACTGGTGTTATTAAGGGGATGCTGGAGTCGATGATGAACTCGAACAATGTCGACAATACAGAGTTGATCGTCACTAGCATAATCACGCTATCCTTTTCGTATTTCTTATATATACTTACATGAATATGTGTTGCTTTGTTTTACCATATTCAACGAAAAACATAACCATATATGTGAAATCTTTCTGCAAATTTTTTCGATATTCTTAAGCTTCCAAATGCAGATGCGAAGGTAGAGCAATGTTCTTCAAAATTTTTCTATTTGGAGCATTCACTTTTGGTATGTACAAACTGCGGAACTTTTGGATTAGGCAAATATGCTAACTGACAGCTTACGATTTTACATTAAAAATTTTGGTAAATATGCAGTATAACGCCCCCACCTTGGATTTTTTCAAACTTTGTAAATTTATATATTTTCACGCGTAAAATTGATTTCTGAAAACGAAAATTATCGCTTACTTTTCGTTTCTTTTTTATTTTTATGTTTTATGATGTTGGTAAGTAGGAAAGTATTTCTTCTTAAACTTGAAAAGGAAAAAATAAATTTTCCAATTAATTATCCTATTAATTAAGAAAAACAAAAATAAAATAAATATTTACTCTAAATATTTTATGTCTTAATTAAAAGCATAAAGCGAAGAATAGTTTATACATGCTTTTCTCTGCCTTAATCAAACACATAAACTCTGTTATAAAGCAGAGAATAGCTTATAAAACTTAAAAAGGAAAAAATAAATTTTGCGATAAAATTAATTATTCTATTAATTTAAAAAAAAACAAAAGTAAATATTATACTGCATATTTATCGAAATTTTTTGTTCGTTTTCGTCACATATTGAGCAATGCTCCTATTTATTTTTGCACGTACTTTCATTGCGTAAAAACATTTGTAATTCTTTGTAACCAATACGACGTAAACTTTGCAAAAAAAGTCAGTGTTCTGTCGGTAAAGTTTTCAGCTTCAGCATTCCCTTAAGAAGCGACCGTAATTGAAAGTAATCATAGCCATCACGGGACGCAATCACAATACTTCTCGAACTGCTGTCGTCGAACTGCTGTCGTCGAATGATCTTACGAAGTTTTCGATCGACCAGCGGTACCACGTTCCACGACCGATGATAAAAGAGGCAGAAAGCCGGCTACACCGTTATCGCTCGTCATTTTTGATCATTGACCCCGGCTGGAGGAGATTCTACCGAGCACGTTGCCGCCGTTTCTTATCTCGCACTCCCGCATCATTATCGATCAAAACGCCCACGGCAACTGGCCGAGTGACACGTCATTTCTTTCAGTATTGGACTCTTCTCTATTGTTCGAGGTCCAGTCTCGCCAGCTGCTTTGCGAAGCTCTCTCAGCTACAACGGTATCTTTTCCGTAACGCGCCGATATGACGAGACGCAGCGAGATGCTGCAGCCTAGCTTACGCGCTCCAGTTACGCTAATTTTTACTTTGGTTTCTTAACATATGAATACATTATCGTAGTTTTTTTCTTTTCAAATTCAAATCACGCGTAACGCGCTCTATGCGCGAAGGACACATCTCCTTGCGGACAGAGTTTGCGATTATCGTGATGAAAAATGTGCAAATTTCGTGTTGCATTTTATTCTCGACGAATTTCCCCCACGTTCTTTGGTACTTTGATACAATGTAGTAAAATTAATACAATGTAATTGGAGTTGGCACGTTCTTCCTTCGCAACTGAGCGGAATAAATTTATGCTCGAACACCACGATTAACCGTTTTCTAATGTCTTTGCGCGTTTCCACATACTTTCTTCAACTTCAATCATTTTTAAACGACTCTTTGCAGACACGCATACACTTGTTCTTCTGCATGTGTCGAGAGAATTACTCGTGATGAACTTTTCTATCTGTTTGTCTTCTTTTTCTCTTACCTTGAACGCGATAATTGCCTTCGTGCGTGCATCGATTGAAGGAATTAAACTGGACGCAAGTCGTGCGAAACAATGAAATCATGATGGATTACTAGTCGAGACATGGAAACAAGTGGAACATGCCTTCACAGTACTTTCCAAGGAAGTAAAAGTCCATCTAGGAATAACCGTGTGCCAAAAAGAAAGAGAGAAAATGGGGAGGGGAAGAAACCGACACGGAAGCCAACGTAAACGTATATTCCTGTGATCGCTATTGTAGGTTCCGTCACAATTGGATCAGATTATAGGAACGTCGATAACTGATAGCGGAATGTAATCGTAGGTAATTAAATCCTCTTTTCCGAGACGCTTCTTCCGCGAAATCCGATAAGAAGGGAATGGAAACGTTTCCACGTAAAAATATATTATATCATGCATTATGCATTGCAGAATGTATGCAGAATGTATGAACGTGTGTGCTGTGTAAACACGCGTCTCCTACCTATCAATCGGAAGAGAGAATAGAACGAAAGACTGCGACTCTTGAGTCCGACAAATCCATCGATCCTCACGCCTCTTCTATATTTCGTTCACGGCAGTTGGAAGTCGTCGTTGTCGGCGGCGACTCGCCGACGACCGGTTTCTCTCGGCGGCGAGAAATCCGCAAAACGAAGACCGCGTCTACCGCTAAGAAAAACGCATCCTACGTCGACGCGGTTGCATTTGCGAAACCCAAGGTGAACGTACTCGAGGCGTGTCGCGATGTCTCCTCGCGTTTGAAATTCCTGCGGATGGTTTCCGAGCTGCGGAAAGCGGCGACGAAGGAGGGCGAGAATATCCCGGGTGGGAATATCGAAAATTTATCGAAATTCCGGGGAAAGGCAGAACGGGCGAAAAATTTGCAAGTTTTGGTCCTCCTGAAAATACGGGAGGTAAACTCGATACGGTCGCGTGATATTAAAACGGACGTCACGGGACTTTCTATCCGCGAAAATTATATTTGGCCACTTTATTTTCCGGAAAATGTCAATTTTCCGGAAAATATCGACTTGCATATCCACTCACGTTATACGAAATATCTCACCGATGTTGCCAAGTAATTAGTGAGCAATTAAAAATGAAGTGCTCGTCGGAAATAACAAGAAAATTATAGATGAACCTCGTTCGTTTAACTTCATAAGCCTTATCGTGTTTGCGTTTTCGGTTTACTTGCAAAATTTTGTAACGTTGAAAACTATTAATACGCAATGAATACAACGAACTTTCGTGTTATTTATGCTAAGGAAAACTCGACTCCAACCGGATCCTGGGGCATTCTGTGTAACTCTAGTGCGCGATATTTAACATTTATATATAGATAACAAAATCTAGTTTAATATATCTGTTTGTTTATTTGTTCAAAACCGGATCTGAATGAAATTTCAACAGTGTACTAACAGAAAAATACATACTGCATTCAAATAACTCGTTTCAAATATTTCATAAGCTTATACGTAGATTTAGCATTTCAATTAGGAATGTTAAATTAAAATAAAAATTTGGTATGCTAACTACATAGATTCAAGCCAATTTTTTCTTCAAAATTTCATAATATTCTTGTAAAGAAAGTTAATTTTTCCTTTGAGTACATGATAATGAACTTTCCTAAGATCCAGAATGAATGCATTTTAAGACTATTATATCAAGAAAATATCCTCTATTGAAGATCACTGTTACTTAAAAGAAGGAAAGTAAAATGAATAATCGCTTTTATTAGCAGCACAATGATATTTTTCTGTGTGCATCTTCTTTAATAATAAGAATATAATATATTCGCCCATATAGTCACATCATTAATATTTTGCAAATCATCAAGAATTAATTATTTATTAATGCCAATTGAACTTTTCATTGTATTCCCAGCAGAGTTTGTTATAGAAATGATCATTTTTGTATCTCGTAATCATGACGAATTTCTCGATTTCAGCATATTAAAACTTAATCAGCAAACTATAAACTAACAACGCCCCACTTATCGATATCGACTTAGGAATTTATGCTATTATTGTATTATTTGTGCACATCGTCTCGAGTCTCTCGTCACGAAGAGAAGATATCGCATTGTCGAGGACGAGATGTGTAATCAACTTATCTCCCTTTCTCTCTCCCCCTCTTTTTTCAAGCTTCAACAATCAAGTTGCTTGAAAAATGATCAAACGTGTAAAGTGACACGTTTCGAAATGACAGCGTTCGTAAAATCGTGTCGAGACATCACAAACGAGATTTTCAATTAAACAATCGACAGAGGACGAACGCTTATACGTGTCTCGTTAAAATAAACAAACATGCAGATTAAATCCACGTCAACATTCGTCGGATTTTCCGCAATGAGAAGGGGTTAGGCGCTCATGGTGAGCGATACGGCTCATTTTCGCGGACACGTAGCGCATAGAAACTCAACTGTACGTCAAACGTGTCTCCGACATCTCGCTTCGGGCTTGATTTTCGCGCGATTTAGTACGAAATATTCATAGTTCTACAATGGACGAGTCATTGGCGCCTCAAGCAATCACCTTCAATGCTCATTTTCGCGCAATTATCGCACAGGAAACCTGATTTCCTACACGACGACACGATGTGCTACGACGTCAAGCGTCGCACGTAAATAAACTCACATCGAAACGACAAAAAGGACGAGTGTCCACGCGGTTTTGTCACGATCTAAATACTCACGATGGTCTCTCGCACGGTGTTGTGAAACAATTGCTCTCTTAGGTCAGCATCATCTTCCATCTTCACCTGTTTGCCAGCAGATCTCGGTCAGCCAAGTGCTGCGACATTTTAACCTTCTCACCGACTTTACACGCACGGCATATTCGAACGTGAAAGCGCACTACGAGAAGGAACGCGACGTCGCGTTGTGAAGAGAGAGAGAGAGAGAGAGAGAGAGAGAGAGAGAGACAGAGAATCGCGCTTGTGACGTTGCGACGCTGTGTTTACACGACGGTAGGCATGGCACGCGCGATCAACTAATCGACCAACTTGGACCAACTTCCACCACGGCCGTTAACGTACTGACCGCCACGAGTGGCCACGAAGCGGCGTCACGGTGTGGCGCGCGTGGCGCATGCGCGACGTTCAAAACGTAAAGCCTGCCGTACATATACGCTTAAGACCTTTGCACGTCAAAAAGTCTTAACCGCAATCGTAATTCCGTAAATTTTCAACATCATTTTGGCTTTAAGCCAAACTTAAACATATATCTATCTTTATCTTTCTTTCTAAATAAATAAAAACATATATTTAAGTCTCGTTTAAGGGGACTGAAGGGTCAGATTGCCTGAAAATCGTGCTTGTTTTTTCACAATTTTTTACCATAAACTGAATAAATATGCGAAAGTGTTGTTTTGATGTGTATTTATACAACATATAAAGAGAAGAAAAATATAATTTTGATGATCATCCAGTAAGCAAGAATTAATATAACGTTACTATATTAATATAACGTTACTATAATAATATTTAAGAACCTGTAATATTGTCAAATATGTAGTGTTTAATATTGTATCGAACATCATTATGAACATACTTTAACCGCGATTTGGAAGTTTCAATAATGTTGAAATAGGGTTGCCATAACGTTTTAATCGTCAGGAATATTTTTAAGATGTTGCATTGATTTCAAATAAATGTTAAAGTAACATTTGAAAAATATATTTTTTGTAATGTTTTTAAAACGTTTAAACAACATTCAGAAAAATCATGTCACAAGATAACATGTGAAAAATATAAATGCAATATTATTAAAAAATGTCCAAATAATGCACATGAAGTCAACGTTTCTAAACGTTAATTTAATGTTCCTTGCTTACTGGACAAATATTCAATATAAGTACATGCAGTTAAGATATATTTCGTTTTTCTTTTCAAGGTCATCGTTTTGTAGTAATATCTTGACTCTTGAATCAATTAAGCTGAATTTTAGATAGAAAATTTCCGTAAGTTTGTCGTTATCATATGAATACCACTATAATAGAAATTGAGTAAAAGTTAACAAAATTGCAAATATCTTAATGGAATATTATTAAATTTTCAGTTCTTTTAAAATAGTAAAAAAATTAATATTTCAAAATTAAATATTTTCACGAGTCAATGATTGTTGTCAATGATTCACACGATAACGACAAGCTTACGGAAATTTTCTACCTAAAATTCAGCTTAATTGAACCACCGAGAGTCAAAATATTACTGCAAAATGACTTAAATACTTAAAGGTCTGTCTTTATTTATTTAAAAAAAAGATAAAAATAGATATATGTTTAAGTTTCACTTAAAGCCAAAATAATGTTGGTACGATCAGATCTTAAACATTTATTAGCTAATAAATTTATAGACGTGTATCGACGAGATAATATTAAAGACTATTATTACGTTGACGATCTTGAAAAGAAAAATAAAATATATTTTAATTGCATGTACCATACATTTATATTGAGTATTTGATCATCAAAATTATATTTTTGTTCTCTTTATATATTATACAAATTTACGTTAAAATAACACTTTCGCATATTCATTCAGTTTGTCATAAAAAATTGTGAAAGAACAAGCACGATTTTCAGGCAATCTGACCCTCCAGTTCCCTTAAAACCACGTTGATACAACCGAGCCTAAGACATTTACTATTATTAAAAGCTTTAATAATGTAAGTGACAATAGATATTGCGTTATTAATAATTCACAGAGCTCTAATCTAGGACTTTGTATGCAATGGAAAAAGCGTAAAGGCCTTTGCACATCAGAAAGTCTTATCCATAACCATAATTCCATAAATTTCCAACACAATTCCACACAACACAACGTCTAAAATCGGGACATAAGACGTCTGAAAGGCATCTTAACTCAGACGTCTCTCAGACGTCAGAATGTAAGATATCCCTAAGATGTCCTTAAGATGTCTTTAAGACGTCTTATGTCCCGATTTTAGACATTGTGTTGTATGGGGATATAGCAATATGAGTAAAAATTTATATACAGCCTTACAGTTACGAATTTTCACTTGCGTTACTCTATCTGATTGTGTGTGTTAGAAACTTACGGAATTACGGTTATGGTTAAGACTTTCTGACGTGCAAAGGCCTTTACGCTTTTTCCATTGCATACAAAGTCCTAGGTTTGAGCTCTTGTGAATTTTTAATATCGCAGTATCTATTATCACTTACATTATTAAAGCTTTTAATAATAGATAGTAAATGTCTTAGACCCGATTATACCAACGTTATTTTGGTTTTAAGCGAGACTTAAATACTTAAACGTCTGTTTTTATTTATTCAAAAAAAAAGATAAAGATAGATATATGTTTAAGTTTCACTTAAAGCCAAAATAATGTTGGTGCGACCAGACCTTAAACATTTATTAGCTAATAAATTTATAGACGTGTATCGACGAGATAATACTAAAGACTATTATTACGTTGATCTCACAGGATTCGGCGAATCAGAAAATCTCGCTATTAAATAATATTTGACTTTGGCTTTGAGAAATATAAATAAATCATCGATAAATTTATCAATAAAAATGTGTAAAATCAGTGGAGATAATGCAGTTTCATATTGAATATACTTCATTACAGGTTTATATATATAACGATAAAATATGAAAATATTATCAGACTGCTAAAAACGATCGATAATGTTATGTTTCTTTAATTGTACATATCTCCTTTGCCAATTTGAAAATTTACCCCCTTCCCTCAAGGACTGATTAGGACTGCATTCCGAAATTCACTGCCAGTATTGAAATTCTATAGTATACGTAACATGAACTATAAATTTTCAGTACTGGCAGTGAATTTCGGAACGCAGCCTATCTTTAAGGCTCCTGATCCCTCGCATTGCCTATCTCTTTTTAATGACGTCAGAAGAGAGAAAATGCGTGCTAAAAATTCTTGCGAAATACGTTAAAATAAAAATATATATTCATAAAGTTAAAATTCATAAAGTTTATATCCATACGTTAAAATAAAAATATATACCCATACACTTGCAATGAAATAAATTTGTAAGATATTCCGTGCACTTCCCTTTTATTCTAACAATCATAATTTGTCATAAATTAACGTAACATACAATTCATCTTCTTATTTCTTCGTTTATTTCTATTTAGATTAATTTACAATAAATTATTGATTGTTAGAGCAAAAAGGGAGTGCACGGAATATCTTAATTTGTTTAATCGATTGCAAGTATTACTTTATGGATATATATTTTTATTTCAACGGATTTCGCAAGAATTTTTAGCATGCATTTTCTCGTTTCTGACGTCATTAAAGAGATAAACAATACGAGGGGCCAGGAGTCTTAATAATATCTCGTCAATGCCTCACGTGCCAATTGAAGAAACAATTTCGATTGACGTATCAATAAGTGCGATAACGATGGTGGATATATGATGGTGGATAACGAGATATATCGATACTCTCGAAATTTCGAATGGCTCTCGAAATACATATCGATATCGATGAATTTTGAAACCAATATAACTTATCAATCGATGAACTGTTTTATTTTAAAAATGTATGAAAACATAACTAATATGTACAATATAGATTAGATCACGCAACAATAATCTGATATAAAGAAATATAAAATATTTACAAGTACGGTTGCCAACCGCAATAAACGCGAGATAAGTTTGCCGGGTCTCGCGCTTCTTGCAGAAGCCTCTCCACCTGTCCCGAAACACTGGACACCAAACAGTCTTCTGTCCCTTGTAGCTTTTGTTCAATCCTCAAAAGAGCCCTCTTGGCGATTTTATTGGTTTCCACGGGCGCTTAAGTAGGCAATAATTAGCAATTGACTCGATTTCATCAATAATAACAATAACAATAAAATGACGAAATATCAACTTCAATCGATTCCAAAATTCAGAAATTAATTTCTCTTACCACGTCCGCACTCGGAGAAGCCCTTCACGACGTCGCTCTGCATCTTGCACGCTTTCTCCGGCGTGATAGCCCATGTGAACAACGGATCATAGAGTAGAACTTGCAGAAGGGTGATGATAATTTGCTTCTGATCACGCAACATTGTCATGGTCACCTCGCAGCTGCGTCTCATAGTACCCTCGATGCCAGATGCACCCATAGCAACCTCGATATCTCTAGTCAGTCTGTAACAAAGCGAAAAGACACTTGAATGCTTTGATTACGAGTATGTGTCTTTCAGTAATAAAATAAGAATTTTATTAATGTATGCTAGCTAATATAAACTGTATTGTAATACATAATATCGTATTGTAATACATAATACTAATTACATAATATTAATTTTAATTAAGATGTTATTTGTTTCTTTTTTATTTATCGCTCGTAATTGTGGCATTTTGATTAACTCGAAACATGAAGGTGTCGCGATCAAGGTTTTGAAAACTTGGAATATGGAATTTCAAGAATATCTTGTATAAAATTATTATATTTGGAAATTTCTATACGAGCCAACGATTAACGATTCTACCTGAAAGGAATGGTTTCCGGAATAGGCAGAACTTTGCTCTGCTCGAAGGCTACACCGAAGTCGATGTGCACCACCTCGGCAGTTCGTTCGTCGATAAGGATATTACTCAGATGTCTGTCTCCTAGACCTAGAATATAGCCTGCAATTGATGTAGTGGCAACGCTGCGCGTATACGTGAGAGTTCTTTCCACCCAGGTCTCAGGCGACAGATATTTCTCCTCGAAGAAATGCTGAAATGCCGGTTTCATCCGTTTGCAGCAATCGAGAAATACCTTCAGCTTTACCTGGACATTGAGAGATAACGTAAAATACAACATCCAAAAGTTTAAAGATAAATTATGAAACTTAAATCGTCCAGAAGCACGATCTTTGACGCAGCATTAAAGGCTATAATACTAATGCAAATAATTGCAATTAAGACTTATCCAAAAATATAATTGTCAAGTCACCTCGTTCGGTTCTTGTGCGACATTTTTCATCTTGTTTCTCGCCGTTTCCACGGTCATGTCGTGCGGATAATACTTTTTGTGCAAACCGGGCGTGTTCGACTGGCCGGTCAATGTCATCGCAATCGGCAACGTATTATCACACCACTCCAGCACGCCCGATCTCTGTGTCAGTGGCACCACTTTGTAGGTTCTGATCCGCAGATTCCGCCGCTTGGTCTCCTTACACGTTCTCAACAGCGTGTTTATCACGGTGAACACCTGCTGCATCACTGCATCTTGTCTGAGGTCGTCCTTACCCTTGACTAGCTGTCGGCGCTGTACACCGTCCGTGCCGACGCAGATCATCTTCTTGGGAACATTCACGCCGCCAACGAACTCGCAAGTATTACTATACGACCTCACGCCGACTACGTTGTTATAATTACCAGATTGTTTCACGGGTAAGTTCAGGGTCGGTAAGAGAACATTGTTCAGGTTCTTGATCTGGGAAATCAATACTTATTTATCATGTAATCAATTAACTCTACTTTTATTCAGAATAAGATATTAAAGTAAAAAGAGTACTTTCAATATTGGTTGGTTCCGCGGTATCTGGTAGGATTTTCCAAGCTGCACACTGCCCTTATTGGGTTGCCAATACGCCAAACTCACCAAGGCCCTCGACAGATTTTCCATCTCGTCGATAGTCGCCGATACCGGCGAGTCGGCCAATTGGTTGAGAAGCTTTTTAGCACCCAATACGCGACGTTCCTCCTTTTTTGTGGCCGCACTCGAATCAAAATCGTCATCGCTGTGCAAATTTTTCATAGCCAGCACTACTGGTAATGTATGATACGGATGTTCCAGGGCGCAACGCAAGAGAATGTTAAAAATCCTCGCGGAGAAACTACTCTTCAAATCGTTGCTGATGTGAGCAGCCAGTTGCGGTACTAACGGAACGAACTTAAAGGACGGCACGTTTTCCAACTCGCTCATGAACTCGTTTACCTCCTCGTCAAACATATTGTCCAGCCAGAGCGATACTAGTCGAAAGATGAGAAGATTATGCTTCTCGCTGCATTGCAGAGTCTTGAGATAATATTTCAGAGTCTGCAATAGATAGTTGCGCCTCTGTTGCTCGTTATTCTTCAGTTCAGCCGCATCATTCGTCGACTGCTTTTGGCTGATTATCACAGCGCGCTTAAGATCCTGGTTCTTCATTTGTGCCATATCGACTTTAATTGCGGTGCGAGCGACCTCCTTGAAAGACTCGTAAGTCGACGATTTCATGTAGTCGCTGATCTGTTCGTATTGCGCATCTGCGAAACGCGCTAATGCGACCTACGACATACATTAAGATATGTTTTAATTGATATATATTATTTAGCTCATAATTAAATTAAAACATTTAATTGAAATAATTATATGTTTGTATATTTATCTATACAAGATAGAATTAATAAGAATGAAGTATATATACAGAAATGTGTCATAAATTGTTAGATATTATGTATATTCTCTAAATTATTATAACATATTATTAATATACTGTCAATATCTTGTTTCATGCTCTACATGTATCATCTGTGCGATTGAAAAGCTAAACATGCTGTATATTTGTCTTTACCTGTGCGTCGTTCAAGTTTTTAATAACATCAGGCGTCTGCTCGTCGATAGAGTTGCTGGTTTCGATTGATTCCAAGTAATATTTCTGTATCATCTGCGGATTCTCCGACTTCGTCTCCGCCATCCAATCGCCGTAAACTCGAAGAGCCTTCGCTCTTAAACTGGGTCTCATATTTCTCTTTTCGATTAAATTACGCAACAAACGACGCGCTACTTTATTATCGCGCGTCATCCATGCCAGGAGAGATTCCTGATAAAGTAGTTGGTTTTGGAGGTCTTCGGACAGATCCCGGTGTTTCGCCAAAGTGCCTAGTGTCCTAGTAGCAACCGGAAAGTTGCCCTGACCTTCGGCAATCATTGCTAAGTCCAGGCAGGTCGTGAAGAATGCCTTCTGCATGTTCGTATCCGTCTTCAGAGATTCTTTGATCTGGAACATTACGATACGCTGTTGTAGGATCGGTTCTACATACTCAAATTGACCGGTCAGGATCTCGTGCTCGTCCCAGCGTTGCAGTATCTCCGGATATTCCTGCAAATCAGTCAAGCTCAGTTGTTCGATCTCGCGTAGTAGACGTAACTGGGATAGTTTCTCATTAACAGTTTTGCTGCTCTCTAAACTGATGACTTTCAGTGAACTTATCACACTTCGACGAGCGCACTCGAGCGCTCTCTCCGTTCCCCTTTGGTCATTTTCGTGGAAGTATTTCAGGGCGTGATAATGATGCTGATGAAATGAATTTTCCAGAGACTCTAGTCGCGGCAGTGTCGAGTCGTTATGACTCGTAGCAGTATCGTTGACGAACAGATTCCAGTTGCTGAGTCTCCAGGCGCATTCGTAACTGAATTTCTCGTCGAGGTTTTTGCTGAGAAATTGCCACTGAAGAAACTGCAATCCAAAATGATGCAACGCGTTCGACATCTCTTTGGCGGCTAGCGGATTGTCGTAGGACAGCTCGATGTCCTGCGCCAACATGACTTTGTCCCAGCTATTGGCGCGAGCATAATACTGCACTCTAGAATTGTGGTCGACTAAATACGACGAGCCAGCGCCGCAAATCGCGTCAGGATCGCTGATATTCAGATACGTGTCTTGCATGATGTCCTGCAGCACTCGACCGAATTGCGGTTGGTGTTCGTAGATGTAATCGATTTTCGGGTCGCTGCTGAAGTCGGGATAGTCCGTGGAAAACGACTCACAGGCCAACTGCGCGAATAGCAACGCCGTGTAATATGCGGAACACTCGTGAGCCGCTCGCGCGAGATAGATGTAATCGAGCTTTAGAGTCATGTTGTCCGGCAGTTGCGTTCGCACGTGGTTCACCACATCCAACATGCGGCGCACGATGTTGCGGTCGCAGCTGCCACGAGCGAGCGACGTCGACGATGTCGCGACCTCGACTTCGTGATCGATCGCGAAGTGATACCTGGCGATTAAATAAATTTCATCGGTCAATCTTTGAAATCTCTGTCCTCTATCAAATATTTCAATCAACCAATTCAAATAATAATATTACATATTATTTAGATATCATTTAATGACTGTATTAACTATATAACTATTAACTAAATGATACCTGAAGAACTGATTAACGCAGTCACACAAAGCGCCGAAAAAACTCTCGCACCGTTGAGTGATAAGGAAAATAATCCTCGGCAGGATGAGCTCACAGAACTTGACACTAAGCCAGCAGACCGACAAGAAACTGTTCAAATAAGAATCCGTAAAACATTCGGCGACACCGCAGGTGATCTTGACAATCCAATCGGCGTAATTCTCGCCGTTCTTGATGGTCCACAGCGCGTTCTCCGGGTCCATGATAATGCGAACTTTCGCGAAATTCACGGAGAAAGATTTGTCCATAACAGCATGACACTGAATAAACGGTCGGATGTAATCTATCTTCAGGGGCATGCAATTGGCGTGAATGTCTGATAGGTTCTGCATATACTTAGGATTGGACAGTTTTTGGCCATAAGTGGTTGAGAACACTGTATAAAGAGCATCGGCGCTAGCCTGAAATGAATATGATTTATTGACTTGAAAGTGATTTATTATTCCTTACGTTTTACTTAAAGAAAGAACCTTGCGTAAGTTCACTGCATTTTCCACTAGAAAGCTCGTCAACATCGTAACGGATCGATACGTCAAAGCCTCTATCATGTGATCCGCTTCGCGCACTAGACTTTCCGAAGGCCGCAAGGCCATCGTGGAGTCTGTCGGGCCCAATTCGCCAAGACACCTCGTGGCCTCCATCGAAATACGCGCGTTAGATGACTCCGCCAGCTTCATTAATCTGAAAAGTAAATTTTGGATATATTTCATATACATAAGTTTATACATATAATTTTATGTATTTTTTATAGGGCTTTATGGGACGAAAATAGCAAGGAGTGGAATAAAGTTATACAAAATCAAAGTTGCAAGATTTTTAAGATGATTTCTAAATTCATGAACTTGTATCAAAATAATATCAATATAGAAAAAGTCGATTCATGTAAAAAATATTTTTTTAATATTTCATATAAAATGAGGATTGAACAACTAATTATAAGACTGTACGTATTGGTATAGAATTTCGCTTACTTTCGTGTTTCCTTCCGTTTCTACGAATTTCCATGAATTTTAATTCAACGGACGCAAATACAGAGATGTGAATGCAAAGAATTTAATAGTCGAAGTAAAAGACTCACTTGAATATCACTTGATGCAAGATGCTGACGCCATCCTCAGGATATGGTCTTTCCAATTTCCGGTGTAATTCCTTTAACTCTTTCTTCCGTATCGATAGCTGTTGCGTCAAATTCGCGAGGTCCTCCAATGTGCATTCGGCGTTCCCGTCGCTCATAGCGTCGAGGAAACGCTCCAACTCTTCCTCAAGACGCACCGCTCCGTCTGCATATCTGACAGCCTTATGAGCCTCTCTAACATTTCGGAAGATCTCAAGATTTGGGAACGAACTGAGTTTAGCGATGGACTCGCGTAGAATATCCCTTTGCTCCACTATAAGAAACCCGAGCAGATTCAAAGCGAGCTCGGAGCTGTTCGCACTTTGTGCCAAGCCGATCAGGTTCGCCACGATGAATCTGAGAACATCCTGAACTTCTGCGGCCCTCGTCGGCAATGCTTGTCTCAGAAACTTGTCCAGGAACTTGCAACACGCGGCAGACAAGATTTCGTCGCTTCCAGTTAAGTGCAACAGACTATAACACACGTCTCTGATCAAGAACGCAGCCATATCATCGAAATATGGTTCCTTGAGGTCTTCCATCAACTTGTGACAGAAGTACGCGTACTGATGCAGTCTCTTCAGCTTACCCTCGCTGGAGCGCGACGAGTGCACGGCGCTCGCCAGTTGCAGCAACGTCTTCTGCAGCGCTGCCGGTTGCTGCTCGACCAGCACGCGCGTCAACGGTTTCATTAAATACTCTTGCTCGAGGTAGCTGAAACACCGATCTACCGTAACCGCAGAGAAATGCGGTGGGTCATCCTCTGGAAAGGACGCCGCGCTGAACGAGAATAAATGCTTAAAATGCTCCTCATCGCACAGCCGTTGCACCAGTTCCACGAAAATGTTCTGCAGTCGGTCGGCAAGTAATCGGGTGAAATTGCGTATCGACGCAAACTCGTCTATGTTCTTCTGCAGCTTCTTCAGCGTTTGCATGGCGACGCTGTTAATCGCCGTTTTATCGCATACGCAAGATATCAACCAAACGAAGCAGGATGGAAAAACGTCCACGAAGACGTCGGCGAATGTTACACCGACATTGATACAGAAGAACACGGTTTTGCTGAGATCCGAAGTACGAAGAAGAAGCGGAACTATGTAATTGATATATCTTTTGAAGAACTCAACCGCAGTCTGGCATCCTGTTGATAACATGTTTGCAATACTATGCTTGGTTTTCTGATATCCAAACTTTAAATTGAGCTATCGTTACCTGCGAGTGTCCACGGAAACTTCTCCAATGGATACTTCGCGTCGAGCCAAGACGTTAACAAGTAGTTCAGATTATCCTCGAACAGCGAGGTGTATATAGTTTGTCGCATCGCCGCCGAAAGGACTTTCTGCACTTTCTGTGCTTGCACTTCGCTATTCATCGTCAGCTGCAACATGGAGCTTAAGGCGCGACCCTGAAGCACTCCGTTGGCGCATGCCACGGAAGCTAAAGTCACCAACGAGGTGGCCACTCTGGTCTCCCTCTCGTCTTCTTGTTGACATGTCTTCAGAGAGCTAGACCACAAAAATGCAAAATAATCAACAAACGAACGTTCAATGAATATTCACAGATGCCAGAGTTTGCAACACGAAATATTATGTGTTTGTTTATAATTATTATTCTTATACAGGGTGTTCGGAAAGTACCGGGACGCCCGAATATCAGGAAAAATATAAGTTTTACAAAAAAATGTTTCAGACAAAAGT